ATCCTTACCCCCCCCCCCCCCTGCGCGCACGTACCGCCATCAGCGACGCCAACGGATGTCATCAGCAGACATCATGTAAAGAAGACCATGTCGCCAGTAGATATCATATATAGAAGATCATGTCACCAGTGGATAGTACAAGGAGACGCAACATCTTAGTGGTGGCTCGCAAATCAACAGGCAACGGCTTGAATATTGTGTGACTAGCTGAGTTCCTATATCGTCAGTCAAGGTGGACTCCATTACTGTCTGACAACGTAGATTCCTTCCCTGACTGACTACGTAGATTCCTTTATTGTCTGACTACGTAGCTTCCCTTACTATTTGACTACGTGTACTGCTACCTAGAAAACATAGTAATGATACTGTGACCGTCGTCACATCCCCGCCACCCCGCCATGGCCCTGGCCGCGGCGGCGCCCGCTCCTCCCGCGTGCCGGCCAGGTCGCTGCGGGCTGCGCCACGCTCACGCGTCGATCGGGTCGGTGGCGGGGGCGGAGGTGGACGGACGGCCAGCGGCCCGCCCGCCCGGCCGGATGGTGGGCGCCGGTAATGCTATGCGCGCGCGGCACACCTCGTGAGCTTGGCGGCGTGCCAACCGCGGCCGGCTGACTGGCGCCAGCGCCGGCCGCGGTCGTCGGCTGGACGCAGCACGGTCGGCCGCGTGCGGGTGCTGGCTTTGACCCAGTCGTGTAAGAATGATCACGCCATACCGCTGGCTCACATTTTCGGGTTTGGAAAAGCTTGATACAAATTTTCAGAGCAGCGGTGTCCGGCGTGGCTGGCGTTTTGGCAAAATGACACACAGCTATATTAGATTAGAATCTTGTCAGGGCAAATTATTTTTCGAACCCGCTCTGTCCCACTAGATGGTACTACCACTACCTACCAATAACTTAATAAATTAGAATCTTGTCAGGGCAAATGGTTTTTCGAACCCGCTCTGTCCCACTAGATAGTACTACGGCTACCTACCAATAACTTAAACGGTATCTCATAATGGTTGGGTCTTATGGTCATTTGTCTGGGCTTTTGCTACGCACATGGGCCATATCGAGACGACGTCAGCAAGCCCATGCATCGCGTCAAGTTCACGGTATATCACCAAATGTATTCATTTTATTTCGTGACTTTGACGGATTCAAACGTTCTTTTGCGTTGGGTCGGAGCCGAGTGGGATAATGGCAGCTGTAAAAAGTGGAATCGCACATCGAATGCGCTGAAAATGTTCCACAAGCTCTGATGGACACAAAATCGCGTACTGCCAACGCAGCCAGCCCGATAACGCAAAACAGGACACCTGACAAACTAAGCATTCTTCGCGACAACCGTCAGCGCATCTCATCCCCGCAAAACGACGATAACGCATTCTCCCAGTTAGCTTCCGTCCCCCTCAGCTGACGAGCGCAGCACCGCGGACGCAGCGCAGCACCGCGGACGCAGCACAGCACCGCGGGCGGAGAGCAGCACCGCGGGCGCAGCGCAGCGCAGCGCCGCGGGCGCAGCGCAGCACGGCGGTGTGTCGGTGTCGGCGCCTCCGGCAGTGAGGCGCCGTGCGCAGCCGCCGGCCTCCGGCGCCGGAGCCGTGTCGCGGGGCTGTGTCCCGGGGCCGTGCCCCGCCCGCATGCGGCGTGTTCAGCCGGCACGGGCGGGGGCAGCTGCCACGCGCCGCGCGACGCCCGCACTCACGCGGGGCGCAGCGCGCGGCGGCCCACTGTCAGGCGAGGCTGCTGGGTGCCCGGCTACCCTGAGGACCCGAGGACCCAGCGCCGCCGCCGCCTGACGGCGCGATCGGTGCACCGCCACGCTGACAGACAAGTCGGAACTTGACATACTTGAGTCAGTCATGCCAGGCGTCGCCAGCGGAGGAAGAGGTGGACAAACGCCAAGCAGCGACGCCGACGGACGGCCCGGGCACCACTACGCCTGCACTCCATTCCGCATTCCACGAGAGGCTGGCCTCGAGTAAAACGTCACAATTTCATTAATATTGCCACCGAGTGCAGCCGGCGACCCGACTCCAGCATCCCGTATTTGCACCTCGGAATTGGCAGTCAGCAGCGGCCAGTACTTGCATGTAGGTAAACATGCGGCATTCTGCACTGTGCAGTGCTTGCACGCAGTTAACACGTGCCGACAGCGGCCGGCCATGCGATTCGCACCGTCTGGCAGAAGACAAAAGACATGTCTCAGCCGAACACAGGCCTGCAGCCTCGGAGGCGTATTCGTTCCGTTCAAAACACGCAGAGCTTGGCGCGGACTTGCTGCAATGAGCGGCGACATTGGGCCGCCTCCACGCCTCGGCTCCGACACTCCTTCCACTTCATGGCACGCGTCGCTCTGCGCTGCGGGTCGCTACACCCCCCTCAGACGCGGGTCAGGGCACCGGTCGCGCCCGGTCGCATGGTCAGGGGAGAGGGGGCACCGGCAGCAGAGGGAGCGCGGCGCCGCTGCCACGCGCGGCGGGCCGTGCCCTAGCCGGACGCGTCCAGACAGGACCGAACAAGCCCTGGAGCAAACCGCCTGCCCAGGGTCATCAGTTCCACAGCCAGGCGCCCGAAATGCAACCGACACCGGCACGTCACCGGACTACGGACCCCGGGATGCAATTTGAGGTCGCGTCAAACAACGCGACCTCAAATGCCGATAACGTTGTAAGCAATCGCCGGCAGCCCTCCACCCCTCACCACGCCGCCAGACGTAGCGTAGTCTGACCCACACTTGCCAGTCGATTGTGCGCCATCTACAAGACAGTTTGCAAGATTTCGCCGCGAGCGGAGGGCACAACTGAAACTGTGTCAAGGAAAGCACATTTTGGCGCGCCGCAGACGCGCGGAATTGCGCGCACTGCATATCACCAATACGGCAGGTTTTTGGTCTACTTGTTTATACGTGCCTTTCTCGATTTCCGCCATACTGACAAGTATTCACTTGCATATTGAAGCCTGTACAAATCTGAAAGCTGAGGACGTGCCCCGGTGGTCCCCCTCCCCCCCTCCCCGCTCCGCCGTCCCTTCAATGGGTCAGTGGTCACATAGCTCACTAGCATCTCCAGGGACCTTTTCGTCGACTTCGACCACTGTGTCCCCGCAGTTTCATATCGATGTACTGCCACATTCGAACAGCTGTATGCCCGCTGCCCCCCCCCCCCCCTCCCTCCACCCCCGCCCGTTGGAATGATCTCACGCTCTATAATACGCATCGCAGACGCATGGACCTGACAGCAGCAATTGCTATTCAAAGCCTGATGTTTTAAGCTGGCGGCCGGCAAAAAAGGCGGTCGTTCAGACTCTGACCACCACACTGTTGAGCGGCGGTTGCCGCCCCAGCAACAGCGACCCAGCGGACGCCGGTGCGCCGCTGGTGGCCTGCGAGCAGGTGCGGGCGGGCCGACGACCCCCGCCCCGATCAGGAGCGCCCGACCCCTGCCGGCGGTAATCGGCGTCGGCTCGCCTCAGACGCCGCCATTACCGGCGACACGGAGCCGCCGCCGCCCGCTATTAGCGCCGTCAAACAGGGCCGGCGCCGGCCGGCGGCGGTGTGGTGACAGAGGGACAACGCGACGTCGGCGGGCCCGCCGGCGCCGGCGGAGAGCGGCGCCGGCGGCCGACCGCAGCGCCGGCCGCACGGCGCCGCCGTCCCCCATTAGTCGCGCCGTCGGGGCCGCTGGCGGCGAGACGGCCCTGACAGCGCGACACCGGCGACGCAGAGAGCGTGACGCGACGCGACGTGACGCGGCGCGGCGCGACGCCCGTCCGTCACTACGTCAGCTCTGGGAACCGCGGCCAGCGCGGTGCAGTTGGAATCGGGGCTACCGTGAGGTCACTTGTCCGTGAATCCAAGGTGACGAAGGCCCTCACGTGTTGGCCGGCACTAACATAATGCTCGTTATCTGGGAACAGAGTTGAGCGTACGACGTACTGGCGGTGTTAGTGGGAGGCGTGAATACCGTCACCATGCTAGTGGCCCCACATGTTTGTACCGTATAAGGAAATTATCAGAACATGAAGTAATTATTTTCGGAATGCGGTAAAATTATCTTGGTCACAGCGTTCAATCGGACCTCGTTCTCGCTCTTTTTTAAAAGCTCACTTGCAGTCAGGGGGCCCCTTGAATGTTTCTCGATTTCCAATTTTTACAAAAATCCTGAAAGATGTTGCTTCTTCAATAAACGCCCGCAAACATTACAAAAATCATTTCTTGTTCTCTTCAAAAATACAAATAAATCACTTGCTCTTCATCCTACAGAACACGACTTAGTTTTCGTCTTGAAATTGTGAGGGCCCATATCCTATGCGCCTCTTTACCGTAGCTGTGATGCATTGCATAATGTGGCTACGTGGCAACTACGTCACTTCCGGTAATGTATCAGAATTGGGATCATTGGCACGAGATATGCCCGCCGGCTGAATATGGTATTCCATCTTGTTATGTATAAAGGCAAACAAGATGAAAACCAAGATGTAAAATACCCATTTGCCTGCTACGCCTAGGACGTGAGACAGATCTTTGCCACGGGAGACGGAGTATAAGTGACTGTGAACATCTCTGACGAAATGTCTACTTAATTTTCCGAAATCCCGAGAACCCACGATGTTGCACGGCCGAAATAACTGTTGGGACTATCATCCTTGTCTGCCGTGTTAGCATTTGCCCCTGCCTTAAAACTATATCCACGAAATTCCTATGCTGATATTTCATGGCATGCTTCCGATATCGCTGTGAACTATTTAGTTCTCAAGCAGCGGCATGAAACACATTCTCTGCCGTGTCAGAACACCGCACCACTCCCTGAAACTCCTTTCAGTTTCGCTACCTTAGGCTGACCGACTGGAATAAGTCTTGACATGGTCAGAGTAATCGATGACATGATGATCTCATAATGCCGGAAGTGCGTGCATGACATGGCCGATTGTGCACGCATGGCGTCGCTCGTGCATTCACGCCGTCCAGACCTCCTGGCCGGCTCCGGCCTCATCCGAGCCGGGCCGAGCACTCACCGTCCAGGCTGGAGATGGAGCCGTACTGACATGTGCCGCCCGTCGTCACTGACTGCGGCTCGGCCGACTCGCACTCATCTGAAAAGCGGCCTCCGTCAGCTGTCGCACCGCAGCGCGCTCCAGTCAGGGCGACGAGCGCCACGCGCCACACGCGGGGCCAACAGCAGGTTGGGCTTAGCTCCCCAGCTCGCGAAAATCAAGCATTCGCGCTGTGACGGCAAGCGCGCCAAAACCCAGCTGCGGTGCTGGGACCTCACACCCAGTTTAGCAGCCTGAGGGGGGGGGGGGGGGCGGTCCGCGCCCTGAGCATCGACGCCGCGACGGCTAATCCCCTCAGTACCGCGCACTACCATCGCTCGACCCAGCAGCAGCTGCAGACACTGTGACGCACGTCACGGGGGGCGGGGGGCACTCCGCCCCGCCGTAACGTGGAATTCGTGGGGGAGAGGGGAGGGGCAGACAGCGTATCGGCAAACATTCGAACGGTCCTGAACGGGACGCGCGTTCACGCCGCCCACGCCCCGGCTGGCACGAGCGTCCGCGCGCGGCAGCGTCACGTGACTCTCGGCGTCGCTGCTGCGGTCGCCGCGGCCGGCCGCGTTCTCGGCCGCGTGCTCACCGGGAGAGTTGGACGACCGCAGGCGGGCACGCAGTTTGGCGCTAGCAATTGGCGCCGACGCGTCTGAAACAGGAGAGCAGAGGCGGGGTCAGCGTCTGGGCGTCCGCCAGCGGCGCCCGGCGCTGTTCAGCTCTGGTGCCGCTCAGCGCCGCTCAGCTCCAGCGCTGCTCCAGCGCTGCTCAGCTCTAGCGCCGCTCAGCTCCAGCGCTGCTCAGCTCTAGTGCCGCTCCAGCGCTGCTCAGTTCTAGCGCCGCTCAGCTCCAGTGGTGCTCAGCTCCAGCGCTTTTCCAGCGCCGCTGGCACCGCTAGTCCGGTCCGGAGCCTGCGATCTCGTCGTGCCCGACGCCGCGATCAGTCGGGGCCGCACCGATCGGCGTGCCTAGACGGCAGCCGGGCCAGCCCCGCCCCCGCCCCCGCCCCCGCCCCCGCCTCGCCCCGACCCCGCTCCCGCCCCCGCCGCGACCTGTCGCAGGCAGACGCGCCCCGTCCGCGCGCTTTCCGCTCCCGAGCCCCGCCCAGCCTGGTCTGACGCCGCCGTCGGTGCCGGCCGGGCGGCGGCGTACCTGGGCAGCGTCCCCCAAGTTGTCAGGGGCGACGTCCACAAGTTGCAGCCTATGACATCACAGACTAATGCGTCACAGCAGCTCGTACGGCTTGCAGTGCAATCGCCAGTGTGTGTGACGTAGCCACCCGTGACGTCCAGAGGTAACGACCTCAGGTATGTACTTTGCCAGCGAACAACTGGGCACTGGCGCCTCTGCCACCGGCCAGCAGGCCCGCATGCCGACATCTTTCACACGCATCATCATTTCGGCAAACAGCACCGCACCGTTTCACGGGGCGTGTCGACCCGAGCGTGGGGGACGGCCGGCCGGGCAAGCCCGGCCATTGGCGCGTCGGCTCGGCTCGGCCCAGCCGACGGCGCGCCGAAGTCGGCGCTGAAGGCTAGCAGGCCGCTCACCCGGAAGGCGGCGGCGGCGGTGGTTGTGGCGGCGGCGGCGGCGGCGGCGCCAGCCAGGCGGGACACGCGTGCGTGCGCGACACGCACCTGGCGCCGCCGGCGGCCGGCGCCCGCCAGCTGCCCGATGGGGAGGCGGCGGCGCCGGCGCGGCGCCGCCCAGCGGGCCGGCCCGCCGCCTGGGAACCGGGCTAACGCGGCGAGTTCTTTGTGAACAAGGCCAGTCCGCCGCTGCAGTTGGCGCTCTGAGAGCCGGGGCCAGCGCGGTGAGGCTCGCTCCCTGTGAGAATGGGCCAGCGCGGCGCGGTTTGAACCGGGGCCGACGTGAGGTCCGTTGCCTGCGAATCGGACGTAACGCGAAGCCCGTCACGAATTCGCCGGCGCTAACGTGATGTCCATGACCTGGGAGCCGAGTTTAGCGTGGTAGCCGCTGAAGCAAACGACGCGTGCAACATTCAAGATCACTTAGCGCCGACATCCCTCGCCAGCTGCCACGGAGGATGGCCAAGCTCTCGGCTACAGGCAAAGCTCCAGCTCCAAGCCTGCCTGCACGCGGCCGCAAGGCGATCTCCCCTCCCCCCCCCCCCTCCGGCTCATCAGCACTATCCTCCCGAGTTTGACCTGAGGCGAGCTGGCCATGAGCCGTAGCTGATCTGCGATGACCGTCGCCTTGGCAACGCGGTTGACGCGGATGCGTCTGATTTTACAGTAGCCATGAAATGACCAGAATCAATGCGAAGAAGTTCCTTATTCGAGAACTAACACTAAAAAAATGTCCGCGGGGCTAGGGGCTATCAAGGTAGCTTATTATTCAGCCAGGGTGCAGCTTTCGCCGCTTTATTTCATGATTTCATGGTTAATCCGTGAACAATCCCGCTGCCCGTGAAGGTTCCCTTAAACAGTATTGGATCAATGGATCGAGAAGTGCGTTAGATTCGCTATTGGTTTTGACACCGGTTGTCCTTGCTGAGGCCATGCGCAGGACGGTGCCACGAGTATTATCAGCATCACGTAAGCCATCGGGGGCCGGATTTACCAGCCTAGCGCGAGCCTTCCTTACTCATTTGGTGCGTTTGTGCTTGCGTGTCTTTATTCGTTTGTGCGAACAGGTTTCGCCATTCGCGAGAAGTGGTGTCTATAGGGGTCTTGACGTACGGGTGAATGATTTTTGCCATTCACGAGCGGTGTTTTTGTGGGTCTTAATAAATGGCGTGGGTAGGTTGAAACGTGCGTGCCGTCTGAAGGCCTTTGGCAAACGCGAATTGGCGAGCATTTAAATGAAATACAGGGCATTGGTAGGAGTTGCTAGAAAACTCGACCTGCTGTGACTATGTAATGATTTACTGTATTTTTGACGCGATTATCATCTATTTGCTCATTACGGATGTTGGCTTAGCGTCAGACGAGCCAGGGGATGCTAAGTCATGTCCTTCCCACATTTCGCAAAGTTTAACACTAGCTCTAGGGCGTGGGTGGAAAGAACCGTCTTCAAAACAGTTTTGTGGCGGTCCTTGTATCCTCTTGCACTTCTAGGAAATTGAGCCAGCATCCAAAAATTCAAGTCGATTTCCCCGAATGAGCAAAAATGCCAGAGCCGGGACAGCGGCTTTTCAGCCTTATCAAATCTCGAACAACTGAGGCTTTCTCACGCTTGTCCTTTGTCTTCGGGCGTAGCGGTATAGACTATAGCATTGCCATGATGAAGTCACCAGCTCACCGCCTACTCGCCTACCACATGGTTCCTGCTCAGGCCAAAACTTCGGGGAATTAGCGGCGTTAGGGAAAAATACGGAAAAGATCTTAAGTCAGACAGGAAATAGTGTGGCAGCTTTCCACATAGTTGTCCATAAGTGGCACGTTAGCAGGCGCAACCCTTATAAGCACTGCCCGGCAAAAACTGTAATACTTAATAGCATAACGAACAGGCTGGCTACTTATGAGCAAACAACGCTATACCCTTACCAATGAGTATTTGACAGCTTGCACGCGTATTTTATGCTACGTATTTATCCCCCAAAACGATTTAACGGCGGGCCCAATGCCTTCAAGTGCACGGGCCAGAGAAACTGGAATCTACTGACAACGCCCTGAGCCTGCTCGCCACCCTCATGGGCAGACAAGGCCAAATCGTCCGGAGATCACTAACTCGACGGCATACGCGCACAACCTCATACGGTGCCGCGCACACTGCGCATGCGCAAACGATCGACTGCCGGCGTGGTCCGTCGCCCCGGCTGCATCAACCGGGTACGCACACCCGGCTGGAGGCACAGCTGCGCCCCCTCAACAAAAAGCACAGATTCTTCGAGCCGATGGGCGGAGCGAGCTGTGCCTCGTGAGGTGCCAGCAGGCCGGCGTGTGACCCGACGACGGCGAGGATGCCTGAACCGGGTCTGATGGGAGACCCTGCACCCATTGCCGTCGGTGTGACGCCCTGACTGAGATCCGGCTGGTGGTGCGTCATGTTCTGGTAGTCCAAGCCGGATCGTTTTGAGAGATCTTTGTCATCTCAGGGGTGTCACGTTATGACTTTTCAAAAAACCGTTTAGACAAACCGGCCTCGAAATCGCGTCTACACGACAGCTGCTCCACGGTCGGAACTCGACTATCTGATGAGACTATGACTGCAAAATTGCTCATATGGCGAATGACACGAGAGGGAACCATGCCCCACTCCGTTCCTAGGAGCTTATTATCATATTTTGTGTGTGTGGCGGCGATGTCCTGACCATGTCGGTGTGGCCATAATGTCTTGACCATGTCGGTGTGGCGGTGATGTCCTAACCATGTCGACGTGGCGGTGATGTCCTAACCATGTCGGTGTGGCGGTAATGTCCTGACCATGTCGGTGTGGCGGTAATGTCCTAACCATGTCGGCGTGGCGGTGATGTCCTGACCATGTCGGTATGGCGGTAATGTCCTGACCATGTCGGTGTGGCGGTGATGCCCTGACCATGTCGGTGTGGCGGTAATGTCCTAACCATGTCGGTGTGGCGGAGATGTCCTGACCATGTCGGTGTGGCCATAATGCCCTGACTATGTCGGTGTGGCGGTGATGTCCTGACCATGTCAGTGTGGCGGTAATGTCCTGACCATGTCGGTGTGGCCATAATGTTCTGACTATGTCGGTGTGGTGGTGATGTCCTAACCATGTCGGTGTGGCGGCGATGTACTGAGCATGTCGGTGTGGCGGTGATGTCCTAACCATGTCGGTGTGGCGGCGATGTACTGAGCATGTCGGTGTGGCGGTGATGTCCTAACCATGTCTGTGTGGCGGTGATGTCCTGACCATGTGTGTGACCGTAATGCCCTGACCACCTCGCCGTCGCCTCCTGACGGACGGTGACGCCGGCGCCCGCGTCACGCGCCGCCCGGCGCCCGGCGCCCGGCGCGGCCGGCAGACGGGCGCCACCAACGGTGGCCAAGGCCTCTCCGCCCCGACCGTTACACCTGACGCCCAATGAATGGTCGGCCGGCCAGACGACAGGCCGCGTCGGCAGACCCGGAGAGGAGCGGCCGCCGCCTGCCAGGCGCAGGCGCAGTCAGGCGCAGGCGCAGGCGTCGTTGAGCGGTCAGCAGACAGAGGCGCAGCGCGGAGGACAGCGGTGATAACCAAGTGCCGCCACTCAGGGGTAATTTTTACCTTTCTATCTGACGTCGGCTGCGGTCTGAGGCAGACCGCAACACAAACGTGCGGCGTGGAACAGGAATGCCTAAAACTTCCAACATGTTTTTCCCGTGTAACGTATCGCGATTGTGGCGAACCTTGTGAAAACAGCACTGGCATTAAGTTATTATTACATAATAAAGCCCTATAGCTGTATAAGCTGGTGCGGACAGCGAGATTCGATGAAGGACCGTGCGGACAAAGCACGGATTCAGTGAAGTGTCCAAGGGTGTCGCCCATTTCAGACGAACCTTTGGGCCCTTACCACAGTTGGCAGGAGTTCAATGCCTCCACCCACTCGATATATTCATACCCACGACGACCTGCTCCGGAGTCTCTCTGACCGCAGATCCTGGAGGTCAGGTCATCCCAGAAACAACGGCCGGGATTCAAGCAGAGCGCATCCTGAAGTCAACAACGCGCCCGCAAATGCAAATCGCCATCGGAATCGACCAAAAGAGTGACGAGACGGACCTGCGCTGGCGCCCGGTGCGAGATGTGCGTGACGGGCTGACGGGGAGGCGGTGGCGGGCGGCGGCACAGGGCACCGCGCTGGAGCAGCCGGACGAGTGCTGGAGCGGCGGGACAGGGCACCACGCTGGAGCGGCGGTACAGGGCACCGCGCTGGAGCAGCGGGACGAGTGCTGGAGCGGCGGGACAGGGCACCACGCTGGAGCGGCGGGACAGGACACGGCGCTGGAGCGGCGAGACAGGGCACGGCGTCAGAGCCGCGGGACAGGGCATGGTGCTGGAGTGAAGAGACAGGATACCGCGCTGGAGCGGCGGGACAGGACACGGCGCTGGATCGGCGGGACAGCGTACGGCACTGGGGAGGTGGGGTGGGGTGGATGCCGCGCTGGAGCGGCGGGGCGGGACACCGCGCTGGAGCGGCGGGACAGGACACGGCGCTGGAGCGGCGGAACAGGACACGGCGCTGGAGTGGCGGCACAGGACACGGCACTGGAGCGTCGGCCCCTGCAGGTGGCGGGTGACTCGCCGGCCGGCGCCGGTCGATACGGGCGGCACTCACCTGGCCTGTGCAGCCGGCTCCAATGGTACGGGTTGACACAAACGCCGCGCTCATCCTGCCCAGCCTTGCACACGGCCAGCCTCTTGAGGCGGCCGTCGCCGTCCAGCTCGGGCCAGCGGAAGTGGCGGCACATCAAAGCCACGACGCCGGCCGCGCACCGCCACCGCAGCGAGCACTCACTCTGTGACAGCACCACGCACGCGCCCTGGCAGGCGCCGCGACTCTGCACCACGTCGTGCAGCACCTTGAGGCTGTCCTGGTCCAGCGCCGCCAGCACCCCACGCACGGAGCGCTCCCGCCGCCGCTCCGACACGTTCTCCGTCGCGCAGTCGGCTTCATGGCCGTCGTCCACACCCAGTCTCACAAGCCGCTGAATGCGCTTCTGCTTATGACTCGGAAGCATGAATCTCCTCCACATCGGCACCGCACATGCTGAGGAGCAGCGCGCCACCGACTGTCCGCACCGCGACACTAGCCGCGCTGTGGCGCGGGCGGCACCGGCGCCAGGAATCCGTGTGTGTGTGCCCGCAGGCGCGCTAGATCCGAGAGAGGCTCGGGACGCCGCCGCCGTCCGCCCGCGGGCGGCCGCCGGCCGGCGCCCGCCGACGCTCAGAACCGCGGCCAATCGCCGATCATGCTCTAATTACCCGCATTAGTTTGTAAAAAAGTTGTGGCCTATGTCTGCACGCTACAGCGGTTTCTAATGCAGCTAGAAGCGTGCGTCACGATACCGAGTAGAGGCCACTCTCCGGTTCTTATCGCTGCAGAGAGCAAATAATAATAAAACGCGAGCGAACGGCCAAGTGCCGCTGCTCCCTATGCGTTTGCGAAGGCGGCGCTGCGTGATTGCTGCAGATTGTCTGGCGGCCCGTTGTCTCTTCTGTCTGGGCGACCTGACAGTTCCCGGCTGGGTCGCCGACCCAGCGTCGGTAGCACGAGACGGCCCTGTCCTCTGGTGTCTACACCTACGACATCTACACGCTGCTGCTGCGGCACTGACGGACCGCTGTTCGGCGTCGGTGGCGGCAAAACGGTCGGCGTCGGCGTCGGTGGTGGCCGACAGCGCCCCCGGAGAGCTGTGAGCCACACTGTTGCATCAGATCCGGACGTGGCCTGAATCCCAACGGTGGATCGAGAATACCGCGAAAATTTCCGATTGCGAGATCCGGATAAGTGAGTCGGTTTTTTTATGCGGCCCGGCGTCTGCTCGGACATTCTGTCGTGACGGAGCTCATACAATATGTCTTCTATTTAGAATTTCGTGATAATGGATCGCTACTTAGGTCGATTCTCAATCGTCGAATCCAAGGCCGAGCCTAAGCGGGGAGATTGCTCGTCTCTCACAATTGACCAGCGAACTGCACGCACGCAAAATTCGTGCTCATCAAGCCATCCCATCGGATCGACTGCGAGGGAATCTGGACGGAATGCCTCAGAAATCAAGGCCACCGTGCCAGGATGCGAGCGTGCCTGAATCTCAGGCAGCGCCTCAGGTTTAATCAGGCCCAGAGTCAGAGGGTTCACCAGGCTGGGATGCCTCAGAGCCCAGCCGCGGGTCCGAGATGGTGTTCTTCGGGGCTAGGATTTAGATGTTCGTCTTTCACACCAGACATCCCATTTGCCGTCACGGGGAAAGTGGGGGGGGGGGGGAGGGGAGAGGGCATGCAAAGTCCGTGGGGGCCATTATCGCTGGCTTCACCTTTGAATGTAAGTGTATCAGTCTGAGTTGGGCTTGCCACGTCAGCCAACGACTCGGGTGGAAGTGGCAGCCCGTGAGCCCATATCCACACTATCTTTGTCACACCACCGCGATCATTCCAACCTGTCCAGACAGACAATGTCGCACAAGAGCAGAGATGCTGAAGCGATTTCATCGCGCGTGCGGCTTGTTCAGGCGGCTCAGGTCTAAGTCAGGTCTCCCAGGTCCCAGGTCAGGCCTCTCAGGTTGCTGCGCGGTCTTCACGCGGCCCGCACGGCCCTGGCAGCGCGGCGTCCCGCCGGTCCGAGGGGCCATCACAGGCACGGCTCGCCGCTCTCAACACACGAACGGCTGTGACACAGCTGTCCGTCGAAGGGGGGCGAGGCGTGACACGCCAGGTCGGCCGCTGACCCGACCCCGAGTAGGAGTCGCGGGCGCGCTGAGGCCGCCCGCCTACGATGGCGCACGGTTTTCACAGCGGCCGGCGCTGGCTGAACGCTGCCCTCCATTTTGCGGCGCGTATGTAAACCAATGGCGGCCATCCAACCTCGAGATATCAAGTACAGACATGCAGCCCGCTGCCAAGGTTGACCAGAAGGCGTGCAGGGAGTGTCACCCAGTGTGTAAGCGACTCAAGGTGTCGATCATGAATAGCAGGGTCAAAGAACGCGAGTGGCAGATGTTGATGCAAAGGATGGGCTGGCAGTCAATAAGATCATTTACTGGCAGCAGGATTTCTGTCTTGGAAGAAAGCAGGAGGGAACCATTTCTATACTTCGTTAAAGGGAAGGAGCCTCTCTTCAAAGGACGCCGGAGGAAGCTCATTTTAGACGTCAGGAAAAGGAAGAAGTCTCTCTTCAGAGAGCACAGAGGGAAGCCGTGTCCAAACTGCTAAAAGGGAGAAATCTCTCGTGAAAGAATGCAGGGGGGAAGCCTTTTCCTGCCTTCACTAAAAAGGAGGAATCCCTCGTCAAACAGGAGCGGCAGGAGCAGCGGTCCGTCGGGAAATCGAGGCAGACGCCTGCCGCGGGCGTGTCCGACCCCTGTATCGGGCGGCGTCCTGCGCCATATGACCCGTACGGTGGCGCAGGCTGCCGGTCTGGCTAGAGGTGTGACCCCGTGCTGACCCCCGCCAGTGTCACATTGTCGTGTGCCTCCGGTCGGATGCTGGTGTGCCCCCCCCCCCCCCCCCGGCGCTCATGATAAGCCCTGGGTGGTTTTTCTGTAGCAAAAACCTGATCGTCTTGGAGCAGATGTTGCCTTTCATGAGACTCGTAGCCTTCGTTTCACACGCTCGGCAACAAGCCGGTTGGGTAGACGACTGGGGAGGCGGTCTGCAGGCACGGGCTGTTTGGAGAGACGTTTTTCGAAGTTCTTAATCGTCCGCAAGGTTCCGTTTTAGTTGGTCGACAACAACAGCTTGCGCTGCTCCACTCCCGTTCAGTTGGTAGCCTAAGCTTATGATATAATGTGAGGATGAGCTTGTTTTAAAGCGCTGTTTTGCACACCACTCTTAACATGCATCCCGCAAGTATGGCTACGGTGCCAGTAATCACCTCAGGAGATTCCCCCTTAAAACGCGGTGCGTTCAGAGCCTTTCCAACATCAGAACTATCTGGAAAACAGTATGGCACGTCTCAAAATGGCTTCGCGTAGCGTAGAGAGGGGTTGCGGAGGCTGAATCCCAAGACATCGAGCCATGTACCCAATAGCGAGAGACAAGGTTTGTTAATTGCTGTCGCCAGGTAGAAGAACCGCAAGCTTTGCTGGAACGGCGTGCGGATGGCTGCGGCCGGCGGCAGTGATGTCCTGAATGTTACGGACGGCCAGGTATCCGCAACTGCATTACCGCAGTCATGCTGACTAGAGATGTCAATAACGGGACAAACCGAGAGTATCCGAAGTTGTTGACTGTTTTTCCCGTGAGTGTGAGGAGTGACTGGACACTTTGCCGGACAATTCTCAACCGGCCTGACTGGGTGGGAGCTTGCAAACCTGCCTGTGTGGTTTGCCCAATCCCGGGTATTTCGCGCTGGCTATATCTTCCAACACGTGAACAACGAAGATGCGTCGCTTCGATAGCATGTCGCCGGCAGCCGGCCTTGTCGTCTTGCCAGCGGTACCGTTGGTGACCGTGTCGTCTCCCCAGCGGTACCGGTGGTGACCGTGCTGACAGCACCGGGACCTCGCCGGCGCCTGGAAATGCGGTCTGTGATCACCGCGATGGGAGCTGGTGCCAGCGCTGGTACCAGCCAAACGTCACCAGCTATAAGCCGGCATCAGCTGTCTTGTGTCCGGTACCGGTACAAACAGCGGGTTACAGGATACTTTTGCAGTTACAACGCATGTGCTCGAAGCTGAGCACGGCAGCGCGCCGCGCGGCGTCGACCGGCGGCCGTCCGGACCATGCCCCTGCGGCTGAGCACGGCAGCGCGCCGCGCGGTGTCGAACGGCGGCCGTCCGGACCATGCCCCTGCGAGCGGCTGCCGTCCGGACCATGCCCCTGCGGCTGAGCATGGCAGCGCGCCGCGCGGCGTCGACCGGCGGCCGTCCGGACCATGCCCCAGCGAGCGGCTGTTGGCAACGGCCGCTCTGAATCATTGCGACGACTGCCTGCCGGCGGCGGCCGGTGAGCGGCGTCGCGCCGCCCGACTCTGTGCAAACACCGGCCAGCCGGCCAGTGTGCCGAGTGAGTCTGCAAGGCCGTGCGGCCGATACGTCGACCTCGCCAACTATCCCACGACACCCTCAGATTAGATCCCGGTGCACCCTGCAGGGGACGTGCGCGCCGCCGCCGCCGCCGCCGCCGCCCGGGCCCGACCGCTCGCTGGTCAGCGGCGAGGCGCAGGGGCTGGTGCCGAGCTCCGGTGCGGGTCCGCCCAGGCCGTGGGGCTCTTTCGAATTGGTGCCAGATTCCTTTCCCATGCGTAGCGAGGTTCAAAGGGATATCTTGAAACTGATACATCTGGAGGAGCGGAAGCCTTGCCGTTATGGGGAGCGGCTTCGGGGTTCGAGGCCCCGGCCAACGATTGGGAAAATAACCACAAGACTTACGGCGATACTTGGAAAGAAACGCCTACTCAAAGCGCCCTGAGTTCGCAATCCTGGGCAAATTCCCGCGCTGCTTGGACGCAGTGATGTCAGTGCTAAATCCCTGTTCACGTTGATTGAAGGGTTCGCTGCTAGCGTAAAGCCAATGGAAGGCAATATTGATTAAGCTCGTGCAACAAAGCCGGATCTTGACAGAATTTTGCCGCGGTATATTTGGAGGTGACAGCTCTCTTAATAACAATATATATAACAACAATAACAATAACAACAATAATAACAAACAATAACAAAACGCAGTTTCATTTCATTGTCTTTCAAAATCGTCAGACACTATATAGGAACTGAGGGGAGGTGTTTAAAAACATCGAAATTCATTTTCTTCCTGATTTACAATATCCCATTTTGCTACGTAGTATGTACCGTGGTGGGTACCACTACATGAACATGTTGACGTCCAATTTCTTTTTGTTCTTGAATGTTTCAAAGGCAATGTTCTCACGCGCTTTGTATGTCTTTCAAGCTCTAAACTCGGTAAAGGGAGCTAACGGACTTGTTCGGAAACCCACTCAAGTACTATGCCATCCAAACAACGACTAACGAACCCACCGCGCGGCTTCCATTTCGACAACTTTAGTTCATTATTGTGCAAATTGTGATTGGTTAATATTCCTTTCATTTGTGACATTTGTAAATTATTTCTCGATAAGCACGCACAACAAATTCGGCTTAAATTGGAGGGTAA